AATCCTTGAGTGTTTCAAACTTGCTTAAGTACAAATTATTTTTTTTTGATCGAAAAATTCGTATTTTTTTAATTTTCACCGATTATTTTAATCATTTGAGTGAAGTTCAGTATAAGCTTGCTGGACAAAGTCCGTCATCATCAGTAAGCTCCTTGCCGAGCTCAACAACCCAGAAGGATCCTGTAGCTCGAAAGAAGGAGTTTTTGAGACGAAGAAAGATGCAAGCCGACAGCCAAGGAGCCAGTAAAGTAATTGAGGTGAGAAGTGTTGCTAAACTATTTTATTTTACTAATACTGCTGTTTAACTCATGGATTTTGCATTTTGCATGCTGTTCGATTTTGCATGGCTAATTGCAACCTTATGCTTGAAATCGTTTTGGACAATTGACTTCTTTTAGTCTGCTGTACTGAAGAGTCCAAAATTCTTCAAAAAAAAACTTTCCTTTTTGCTCAGCATTGTGGAAGAACACCCCGTGAGTTTCGTTTTCTTTTTCACTTCTTGCGTGATTAATAAGTGCTTTTCTTTTTTTTCTTCTATTTAATCTTTTTTGGGTATTTAGGGAAAGAATAGATAAAATTATATGATGTTTTCCTTGTAACTTGTGTGCTTTTTCTGCATTTTATTGCAACTTATTTTTTCCACGCTCTGAAGCTTTTAACCTAAATTTCCTGTAACTATAAATGCAATCTGGGGTTAAGACTAAATATATGCAGAAAAAGAGGTAGGAGCTTGTCTAAGAAATTTCTTTTTAAAATTGCTTTATATAAACTTTTTGTAAGAATCGGTTTTACCTCACCAGTTTTTTTCTTTAGAACTTTGAGTTTTTGTTCCTAGGTGGTTTGGTCTCTTTAAATAACTATGGTGTTAAAAGTTGTATTTGCTCAGAAAGATAAGGCATGTAAGGAAGCTTGACTAATATTATGGAATATTCTGAGACATGTGAAAATACTTCGGACACTGCATGTTACATAGCATTTCATTCTTTGGATTAGTAATGTGGTTATTTGGAAGCTACTGTGATAAGTAAGAAATAAGACTGTAGTGGAGAAATAATGCAATTTACGGTATTTGAATACTTGCGGTTGGATCTTAAAATACTGTCTTTTGGAAACTTAGCGACCAAATCTTATAGAAAAGAGCTGATTTAGTATCTTGAAAGGCTCTTACTGTTTCACTTTATTTTCCATGCAACATTTTTTAATTTCAGTGTATTACCATTGTTCTTCAATCAAGATAGTGTGAATTTTGACATTCTGCTGGGAATTAATCGTATGATAGATTTTTGGGGGTAAACGTCTACTTTTCTAGCTGGACTGTTTTTTGCACTAGTCACTTAGCTTCAAGGGAGATTGGCACATTGAAGTCTGGAAGTTTGCAATTTGACGTGTAGTGAATTTTATGTTCTGCGCAGTATTATAGTAAATTAACCGTTCCTTCATTGCATGAGTGTTCATTTTTGTTGTTTAATATGTTGTGATGGCTAACTACGAAGATTCCTTAAAACTATTTTAATTAAGTTCGAAAGTCTTGTGCTGTTTAGTTATTTCTAGTTTCCTTTTCGTTATTTTAGTTCTACTTGTTTAAGAGGAACTGCACATTCAGTATTTTGATGTTTTTAAAGCTACATATGTTTTTGCATCATTTAAAACTGCAGGGCATGTCACAAGTTGCTGGTGCCGCCAGAGAAAGGTTGGAGAATGAAGGAAGCGGAGAAATAAAAATCACTTCCTGGAAGGTAATAATTTGATTTTTTATTCTCACTTGATACCCACATTGTAAGACGGGCAGAACAGTTTGAAGGTCTCAGGTTTATCGTTTTTCATTCAAGTGTTGACACATATATGAAATACTGAATTGGATTTATCTGGACATTTAAAGATTTTTGATTTTTAGGACGTTTAATTTTTAATTTAGGACAAAATTGAGCACGAAAGGCCCCATCTTGATTACAGCGATGTGTTTGATAAAGATGTCGGCCAGGATGAGGGGTTATGGATGTGGGAAATTGAAAATTTTTATCCCAGTTTGATACATCCATCATTTTATGGGCACTTTTACGATGCTGACTGCTACCTTATTTTGAAAGTTACAAAGGTATCACTTCCAATAAATTTTCTCTAATGGTTGCGCTTAACTTTGATGTACGCCAGTAAAAACAATTTCTTGCAGATCAGTGTCATCTCAGTTAACGTTGAGATCTAGAAATAGTTCCACTGTTATTTAGAGAATTTTTTATGTTTGGTTACAGGAGGATTCTGGTGCTTTAAAACATGCTATATACTACTGGATTGGTGAACAAGCTACATTAGATAAATCTATGTGTGCTGCAGTTCATGCCGTCAATTTACGCAATCATCTCTGCGCATCGTGCAGGTAATGACGTTGTTTACTGCACTTCCCGAAAAGTTAAATAAGAAACATTCTTTTTAACGGCAGGTATTTCGAGCGTCTATTCCATTTAAACTTCAAAGTATTAAGGTTTTTATTATATTGAGCAGGATTTTAGGACTATTCGTGAAGAAATGAATGAAGAATCTGATGAATTTCTGGAGTTATTTGGGGAAGAAATTACTTATATTGAAGGCGCTAGAACTGCGTCAGGGTTCTATACTGTTGAAAAACCAGAGCACGTGAAAAGGTAGGTTTAAAGTTCATTTAATTTACTTTCACACGCTTAGTTTAAAGAGCCTCTTTACTCGAAAAGTTCAGGTTGTATCGGGCTAGTGTAAATGGCAACGCTGTTGAAATGGAACCTGTTCCATTAGGTCCTGAGAGCTTGGATCCTCGTTATGTGTTTCTTTTGGATGCAGGAGAAACGATTTGGGTTTGGAGTGGAAGGAAGTCAAGAGTAAGTACAAAAGTATCATTAGAGCCATATTCTAATTTCATGATGAACTGGTTGAAATTAGTTTTTTTAGATAACAGTTGCAAATAAAGCAAGGCTGTTTGCGGTTAAAATGAATAAAAAAGATAGGAAGGGTAGTGCGGAAATTGAGAACTGTACCGAGTTAAAAACGCCGAGTGAATTTTGGATGGCTTTGTACGGTAAGTAGTATTTTTGGAAGATGATATCTGATATTGAAAACGTAGTTTCATATGCTTATATTTTCATTAAACTCCTGTGTAAATTTTTTTGCTGCCTTTTTTTTCAGCAAAAGAAAAGTTCTATCAGGAATTATTTCAGGCAAGCCAGGCAAGCCGGAGGATCCCATTGTGGAACATGTTGGTGATGATTGTTTGAAAGATGGAAAGCGTCTTTACCAAGTGAAAATCGGGATGGGTTTTTTGGAGCTACCTCAGGTCGAATTGGATCACGGTCTTCTGCACCAGGTGGAGTTTTTGTAATTTAGAGAAGAGGTTTCTTTTTTTTTTTTTTTTTTTTTTTTTTTTTT